AAGCAGTGAACGATATCTTTTTGAATACTTGGCGCCACCATTAGATTATTCCCAGGAGCATTTTCTAATATAACCTTACCAACAGCCTCATTTTGATCCCGGATTAATTTTATTAATTCCAAGAAATTTCCCCTATGAAGAGACGTTTATGACTCATCATGACCACGAAAAGGTAATGCACCATTCAACAAAAATCTAGCAGCATCAACAGAAGCATTTAACCGGATACGATATTCATTCTTCTGAATATCACTTTGTTTATGTAAGGCGGCGACAATTGATTGACCTTGTCTCATTAGGTCCTTACACTTCTTAACAGCTCTATTGTGGAAACTATTAATGTGACCCACATGAGTAGTCAATCTCTCGGTTTTATTCCAACTACTAAAGCCTTCGGTTAAAAAGGCATCACTTCCACCTTGTCCACCACATTGATCTCTAAATAAGTAACAACATAAGCAAAAAGCTTTATCTACTTTTATACTATAGTCCAACCAATTACCGTATTGATCAAACCAAGCCGGGTTAAAACGTCTTGCCTTGTTTCCAATTATTCTTCTTGGAAAGTCATGACCACGTGGTTGACACGGTCCTTTAATCAAATAGTTTCGTCTGATTTCATCTCTTTGAATAGGGTGGTATTGTAAAATTCTTTTCCTTTCAGCTGGATCCGATGGAAGATTATTCAAATCAACTTCCCTAGGCATCGAGGGAAGATCATTGCGCCAGTTGTTTAAAGGTTTTCCACTATTATCGGACGTTGATGGCTTTCTTTTCAGAAATTTTTCCATCTTCTAGCAAAAAACAAGGGGAATACATCATATATATATATATATATATATATATATATATATATATATATACACACACAAATTAAATAGAAACAAAGTCCACTCTACCTATTAAATATTAGCAAAATGTATTATATATAGGGAAAAGTACAATAAAAACCAATGAACTTTATTGTTTGGAATGATTAAGTCCTTGAACTTTTTTTTGAAACAAATAAGTCCTTGAACTTTCCAAAATATGTTAAATAAGTCCTTGAACATTCCAAAATATGTTAAATAAGTCCTTGGACAATTTTTGGAACAAATAAGTCCTTGGACATTYCAAAAAATGTTAAATAAGTCCTTGGACAATTTTTGGAACAAATAAGTCTTTGGACATTTCAAAAAATGTTAAATAAGTCCTTGAACTTTCCAAAACATGTTAAATAACTTTTTGAAAAAAATAAAGTGGTAAAATAGTGAAAAAAATCCCGAAAAAAACCCAATGAACATTCATATTTTTGAACGATTAAGCCCCTAAATATTTTTTGAACCAAAAAGTATTTAGATATATAAAATTAAACAAATATAACAAAAAAGTACTTACATTTACAAAAAAATAATTACCATTTTAACTAGTTGTACAAGTCATTAGAATGTATCCAACATGTTTTATAAAAGTTCAAGAAGTTATTTAACATGTTTTGGATTGTTCAAGTACTTATTTGTTCCAAAAATTGTCCAAGGACTTATTTAACATTTTTTGGAATGTCTAAGGACTTATTTGTTCCAAAAATTGTCCAAGGACTTATTTAACATTTTTTGGAATGTTTAAGGACTTATTTAACATATTTTGGAATGTCCAAGGACTTATTTGTGCCAAATAATTGTCCAATGACTTATTTAACATGTTTTGGAAAGTTCAAGGACTTATTTGTTCCAAAAAAAAGTTCAAGGACTTAATCATTCCAAACAAAAAAGTTCATTGGTTTTTATTGTACTTTTTCCTTATATATATATATATACACACAAATTAAATAGTAAATTAAGAATCTCACTCCAATCTTCTACCTACTGTTACTATTGTCCACTCCAATATATATATATATATATATATATATATATTAAATAGTAAATTAAGAAGCCCACTGTTCACTTCTACCTA